TCATTCTATTCAAATGAAGTTGACACCGAAAAAATAAGTTCTTATCAGTGGAACACTCCCAGTAACTTCAGGGGAATGAAAATTTATGGAAAAACTAGTTCGCCTTTACAAACACCCCTTAAGACACATATACTTTCTATTAGCCAGCTCGCCTTTGCACAAAGTTAGTTACTAGTTAGCCTGTAGAGAGGTTGGGATAAACGCCTTTAGCACTGTTATCGCCAGGTATTATGAGGTGGATACTCTGAAATCCTTTAAAAATATCAGTAGACAGTATAGTTCAATTCTCCTCACGTTTGCCGGAGCAATTGCTATCAGACGCCTGGAAACCAACTTATGTGCTCACAAAGAAGTATTTACCAATCTTTCCATGCTGTGATAAATCGATGTCTTCACTCCAGCCTCATTTAGTCGCGTATTCTTTGGCTTTAACGCCTTCGCCTTTCGTTATGTAATTTTGCCTGTCTTTGGTTGGCATGATTCGAGTTCAACTCACTACACTGTGATCCAATTTTTAGTTACTTACCATTCTTAAGTGAGTGTAATTTCTGAAGTCTCCTGTTGACTGACATTACGCCATATTTGTAAGTACGTTAAAATTCCTCTGTGCATAAACTTAATTTGTTTTCTGTCAGGCTGTACATAGCTGATGAGCAGCCGACGAAATAAACGATGATGTCATCTTGTGGCGCGTACTACTGACAAGATTTATCAGTAGCATATTAAGAGACATTCTTCGGAACAAAAAAATATCAAATAGCGGACAGATAGTTTTTATGCCAAAGGGAGGAAATGGACCAGTATTGTGGCAAAACAGGGGAGGTGGCATAGTGGTTAGGACGCTCGCCGACCATGCACATGGTCCGGGGTTCGATCCCCATCCGACGCACTCCTTTACCTCGCTGAGCCAGAAATAATGCTGGTGAAGAGGAAAGGTTGGGCATGAGGCTAGCAACCCCATCCCGCTACAGAAACTTCAAGCCACTAGCTTGAAGCCCTATGTTCCACTGGGGAACGTGAAGGAAAAAAAGTTCCCAGTGGAACATAGGACTTCAAGCTAGAGCTTTGAAGTTTCGGTAGCAGTATTATCTATTTTTAGGGGATGGGGTTGCTAGCCTGATGCCCAACCTTCCCTCTTTACCAGTCATATTACTAGCTTAGCGAGGCAAAGGAGTGCTTCGGTGGCCAGGGATCGAACCCCGAACCACCTGCATGGTTGGCGAGAATTTCACCGCTGTAACACCGACGCACATATGGTGTACATAATTTCCCTGTATGCGTATAGCAAGTTCCTAATAAGCGTTCCGTCACTACCAAGTCTCTTGTCTTCTACCCTTACAATCTTATTCTGCACAAATAGTCGTCTTTGCTTTACTCATATTGATTAGGCAGAATAAGAGTATGAGAACTTAATTATGTTCAACGAGGCAAGAGTTAAGCGAATCTCTGTTGTCTCGTCAATAGTCAGAGGATATCACAAAACTGTATACTGCTGAAATAAACCACTGCATATAAATAATTCATGGTGAGTCTTGAAAACAACATCCTCAGTCCCTTGATTAGTCAACTGCACTTATACAAGAGATACGTAGATGATACGTTTATAATCTATGATGAAAATTGTGATTTAGATTCTCTCCTCAAAACCTTCAACGCAGCACATCCATCAATAAGTTTCACCTTAGAACGAGAATCGAACAACGCATTTCCATTCTTTGATGTACTACTCACCAGACGAGACAACTGTACTATCCAAAGATCAATATACCGCAAGCCAACATGGACTGGACAGTTTATTAACTTCCAGAGCTTTGTCCTACTAATCCGAAAGAGAAACCTAGTAAGTACGTTGTGTTCAAGGATCAGAAAAATCCGCTCGGAAGACATGGTGGAGAAAGAATTAAATTTATTACGTAAAACCATACTAGAGAATGGGTATCCACCAAGATTTATTGACAAAACATGAAGGAGAAGCCTCCGGTGTCAAACATCGCAACGGTTCCTAAGAAGACTCTCTTCATGAACCTAGAATTCAAAGATGATGTCACAGCGGAAATTCTCAGAAACCGCCTTTCTGAATGCCTGAAGAAGACATTTCCAACAGCCACTCTACGTATCACATTCTCCTGCAGACAGTTAATCCAGTCTAACGCTAAGGACAAGATACAGCTTTTGGCCACCTCAATATGTATTTATCAATTTACTTGCTCGTGTGGAGCAAAGTATATTGGCCGTACGCAACGTCAAGTCCAAAAACGTATTCTGGAACACTGCCCAGCTTGGTTATCCAGAGGAGAAAAGAAGAATAGCAACAGCTCGATCCTCGAACACCTTGTCATCTCTGGACATCGAGCACCCCCACATGAATGCTTCACAGTGTTACACAGAGTCCCTCAATGTCGTACAAAGGGACTTCGGATACGCCATCCGTACATAGCTGAAGCATTAGCTATTCGAGATCGGAAACCGGACCTCTTGCCTTACCATGGCCAGAGTAAAGTTCTCGCCACAATTTTCCTTCTTTCCTTTATTATGTAAGTTCACTATTACTATTATTTTATTAATACTTTTATTATCATTAATATTCCCATCATCCACATTTTATTACCACTCTATTACTGTTTATTAATAACATTTTTTCATTCAGATTTTATATAAAAACACTATCGCCTTTCCACTGGTTCCTGTCCATTCTATACGAGCATATTGATTATTCATTATCTCACATTTATCACGTCACGCCAACTTCTGTCTCTTTTCTAACTTACAATTAGTCATCCCTTCTTACACCTTACATTATGTAATACAATTTTCCAAGGACAAAATTTACCAGTATCTGATTGGTCTAAAGATTCCTTTGTTTATTATAATTACGATTGTACAGCTCATGAAAATGAATCGTCGAAAAGAAAATTTTCTTCGCTGTTTGTGCCTTTTTATGACTAAATAAAACTTAGTAATAAGATTATATCTTTAACAGCCTGATTAAACGTGACCGCAAAAGGAAAAAAATAACCACTTACAGACGTTAATTTTATATTGAAATTGTCTATTATTAATTGTATGAATGATTAGGTATAATGTTCACCTCAGTATCGTAGTTGACCTCACCAATTTCTCTATTAGCATCACTGACTAAATGATTTGATATCCTATACACGACTACATGAAACGGCATTTCAGGTCGAAAATCAATTAGAGGGAAAAGAACAAGAAGTTTAGCAAAGATGTTGATCTTTTCGGCGATTCCATTCTGAAAAGCTGTACAATCGCATTTACATACATTAGTTTAAATGGATACATTTATTATTTATTTCATTCCACATACTAACAAAGGAGATAATAATTTTCAACTTGATACGAATTATAAGAGGCTTAGAGACGAAAGGGATAGAACGAATTACAGGTGTGAACAAAATGAGCATGGAAGCAAATTTTTCAACTTGAAATGTAAGTTAGGAGGTGTGAATATAGATTACAAGAGGAATAGAAACAAAAAGTGACATAGGATTAGAATATAATTGTGAAATGGTTGTTGTAAACGGATTACAAGAGTGATCAGGAGGAGCATGGGAACAAACTTAAAATAACTGATTTTATAACTGAAAAAAATGGGATGAATTGAATGAAGGCAAAGAGAGAAAATTACACACACAGAGAACAAAAAAACTGAAGGATAGGGGAACATACCGAACTAGGTCCTAGTTCGGTAGTTTCTTTTGAATACATAGTTACGGCTTTTTGATGCATATGGCGAGAGTTTCTGCAGTACAAAGAAGTCAGAAAGTTGAAAATAATTGTCACCTTATATTCGCCTTTAAAACTATTTCTCCAGTTATCAAATGTTAATTTTGTATACATTATAACTGTTGTCTAATCCTATGCAATCTTGTCTCTAAGCCCCTTTTAATCTACATTGGTACCTTCAAACTTTCATATCAAGTTGACAATTATTATCACCTTCATTACTATGTGGAATTAAATAAATAACAATTGTATCCATGTAAACTAATGTTTGTACAGCTTTTGAGAATGAAATCGCCAAAAAGATATCTTTCCTGAACTTCTTGTTCTTTTTCCTTTGATGTCCCGATGGGTATTGTCCACGATTTGAAGAAATCAATTACGCAACACACCCAATAGTCCAAAATTCATCTTACAGATTTATAGACGTGAGATACTCTTTCTAACGGAACAATCTCATCTCAATTTTGAATAACTGAAATCACTATGGGCCAAATCAAGAAATTCTTGACGTTATTTTGTTTAAAATGAGTATATTCAAATGTAACATAGTAACTATGATACTTGATTTTCAAGTAATAGAAACCTCCCTTTAAGCTCAGGCCTCACTTTCAACCGAAATGTATTATAAGTCTCCTCTCTTGTGCCGTAGTACATACATATTGCCCTATAAACTACCTAGCACAGTCTAGAGCGGACAGACTTCGGTCTTCTTCTCAATATAGCCACGCGTTCACAACCTCGCTCTATAAGGTAAGTCCTATTCACTGTTTTCACACAATAGTGAAAAGACGAATTCGAACGTCAGGCGCTCACAACACGACTAGTGAACATTTTGGTCTACCTAGAGGAGATGGAAAACCCTAATTCCAAACCTATAGTGTATACGGCCTCCAGAATCCGAAAAGATCAAACAAATGGTGTATGAACCTGTTTTGATCACCGGAAACCATGGGAACGCAGCTCCACTGCATTATGGATCAGACTTCAAGTAAACAGCTCCACAGCGGTGGTCCCATAAAACAACCAGTTACTCCGGCCTGGGCATCTGGACAGTGTCCTAGTCGTCACGAAAACTACAAGATTGATTTTGTTTGGTGCACCTTTTGGTGCTCAGAATGTACGAAGTTTGTGTCCTAATAAATAAGTAAGTAGCATATAATTAGTTAAGTAATCAGTACTGAGTACTTGTCGCATACTTAGGCATAAAGAAGAAGGTCTTCGTACCCAACACTCGAGTAAAACAGGTATTAAATGAAACAGTTGGGCAGACGACTTTATCTTATATTCACTGCGAATCTACAAACTACACATACAGAAACAAAAGAAAGAAGTATTCAAAAGATAGTGTTTTGATCGTATATATTTACAACTATATCATTCATAGAAATATTAATTTACGTACACACAGATGGCCAGTATACAATGAAAGGCTGGAGATATTCGAGAGAGAGAAAAGACACATTCTAATTACCACAAGGACAGATATTAGCTAATGTAGAGAGTATACACATGAATGAAATGTTGGAATTAATTTAGGCTTTAGATACCGTCGTAAAACCAAAAATTAAATTTGAGTCGAACATCATTTTTTTTTCAACAACAACAACACAAAAAGGTGACATTACACCGAAGACAATCAAAAGATGGGAATGAACGCAAAAGAAAAAAACAGAGAGATCAATATCAACAAAATATTAAACTAAAACGAAACAAGACACAGAAATCAAGCAAAAGTTTTTTTTGGATTTGCATGCAAATAAGATTTGCTTCAATTATGATTTTTCGCTATGAACAACTGTCAACAAATAGCTAGAAGAACTATTGTAAATAAGAAGTACCAGATTCTTCTTGTGCGTCGGTGGCATTGCGGTAGATTGCTCGCCAACCATGCAGGTGGTTCGGCGTTCGATCCCCGGTCACCGACGCACTCCTTCACCTAGCAAAGCCAATAAATAAAACTGGTTAGGAGAGAAAGTTGGGCATGAAGCTAACAACTCCATCCCGTAAACATATATACCGAAACTTCAAGTCTCTAGCTTGAAGCCCTATGTTCCAGTGGGAACGTAAAGGAAAAAATAGTAAATAAGTAATAATAATAACAGCAAGGTTCTTCGACAATGCACAGTTACCACCACCAACAACAACACACACACACACGAGGGGTAGAATTCACAGAAACAAGTGTATGCATGCTACTGAACATCAATTTCTTTTCCCTCGGTTCTTCTACTCCATATTGGTTGGTCTACGGAAGTCAAGCAAATTAAGTGTAATGTGTTGTACAATAAGATCGAAAACCGATCTAGACTGTTTATCCCTTTTCTGTTTGTTATCACATTCTTTTTCAATACATATACATATATATATGCATTCTTAAAAGATTGCACATGTTTGCAATTACACAATGCATATTGAAAAAACCCAATAAAATTCGTTTTTGAAAACACCCGATTCAAATACAAAAATGTAACACACCAGTGTATGAAAAAAGAAAGAAAAGAAAATATAGTCAGAAGGATACAGGTGAAATGATATTCGATGCTTGTGCATTCACACGTCGTTCCAGAGATTTTTCATCCATATAATAAAATTTCTCCTCTTCTATAATATCTGGTTTTAAATTTATCCATAAACTGCATAAACGTTCTAGCGCACTAGAAGAACTGAGAGAGTGTTCATATGCAGACAGTATACTTGATTGACTGGTAATAGAATTACTGTTTGTGGAATTGGACTTCACGTCGACATTGTTGTTATTATTACGACTAGTAGTATCATGAGATGTAGATGATGGAAAATTCGTTGAAGATTTTCCATCTTTACCAGACATCGACGAGGAGGACTTCAGACCTGCATAAATATCTGTTAATGCAAGTTTACAATGATGCGCCTGATGATGATGATGGTGATGATACCGATGGTAATGATGATGACTATGAGGGTGTTGACGATGACTAGCACTACCGATATATGCAGCAGAAGTCAACCTCAAATTTCCATCTGAAAAATAGGAAATAAGAGGAAACAAAAACATAATAAAAACATTTTAAGTTTGGTTCAAAATCGATATACTGTTGTAAGTTTTGATAAATTAAAGATAAACACACAAACGTGAAGAAATCGCCTCCGTGCATCAAGCTAAATGGAAAGTGAGTAACTACCACTCTTTTAATTCCATTATTTAAGTTATACAATATGGCTAATCTCTACTGGACAGACAACATATTGTAAGCCTAGAAAGAATACGAGTATATACAGTTAAGCGTTCAGAGTATTTCAAAAACGCTCAAGTAAAGAGCAAGATAGTGATTGCGCTAGTGAAATAACACGTCATGCCGCCTAATGTTAAAATATCTTCAGTAATTTCCTCCAGGAAGAGCGTAGTCTTCAAGCTCCATAGGCTGTAAACAATCACCGACAATAGACTTGTCTCCTCCTCCGAGACATTTTCATTATTCATTCATTCATCCAGAGAAGGTGGTTATTTATTTTGGACTTTTCCTGATAAGAGATTAGGCAATCAGTTTAGGAGTTCAAATCTTGCCTCTCTGAAGGAATCCATCCTTGATAGCCTAGAGATAGATCATAAAGTCGATAGTTGATTTGATCATTTGTCGCTTCCATCTGACACAATGAGGCCAGGTAAACTGGTCTTGATATTCTTCTTCTGATATATTTCACCTGTTAAATAAGAAGTAATTTGATTATAGCTGTTCCCTGTGCAACACTATGTTGCCTAATTGGCGACATAATGTTTAGGCATCCGTTGATTTCTGTGATTGGAAGGGGATCAAGGATCCTTCTTCTTTACCACATGTCAATTTCACACACATCTATTGGATGACATCAACTCAAAATCTCAACAAACAAAACAGTTTGTTTGTTTGTTTGTTAGATTGTGATTTGATATGATTTCTTCTTCACTCCACTCCATTACAAAGCGTGCACATCACTGTGATCGTAGGCAGGGGGGTAGATTACCACAGCAGTGAAATCAGACGAACACTTCAACGACAACCGAAACATCTTCTTTAGGCTATGGTATGTGCTCAGCTATGGATTTCGTCATCTAAAAAGGAAACAAAATAAAAAGTAGGCTAGTCATTAACCACTGATTGATGTATCCTCATCATCACATATCACGTACTTCATATAAATAAGACATAAGATAAGATTACATTGTGAATTGACAGAAGTTCGAATTCACAGACTATCGGATTCCAGTCGAAGAGCGCATGAGTGATGAACAAACTTAGCCTCATAACCTGGCGGCTCTGGGTTCAATTCCCTTTGGAGTCATGGGTGTATGCCACTGAAGAGTCCCTAGCTGACACCAATCCGTGATCAAACTTGAAATAAGACATTCATCAAATAGGTGAACTATAAGCAACTCCTAGTATGAACCATGATATAAAGGGACATTCACAGCAGTTTACTCAGCGCAACCTGTAACTGACATAATAAGTAGGCTAAAGTATTATGGTTAATAAACCATGTCGACTATTCGAACACCAACAATGCCGATCGTCACAGTGACGGCCACAATATACAAAGAGTGGGTAATTAGGCTTGTTACATAATATGTACGAAATCCAGTCAAAAGCTGTTTATAAAATTGGACAGATTCGAATCCACAGGCAATAAATTTATCCGTGTTTGCCGGTGTATCCTGAGTTTATCACTATTCACACTCCCAGCTAGTTGAATTCGAAATGAAATCGATGAATGTTTATCTTTTTTATTCCTTTGCATTCTGAGTGAAACATAAGGCGACTTCTAGCTTAAACTTGAAAGTTCACTACCGGCTGGCTAGGCGAGGGTTAGGAGTGAGTCGGTCGGGGGTCGAACCCCGGACCACATGGGTGGTTTTGTCAATTGTTCTGCCACTGAACCACCGCGACGCATAGATGAGTGTGCTAGCTGTTATTTCCTATCGAACTTTCTCGTCACCTGGAACTGGTAAATCAATAACTTTTCTACGGGGCAGTGACATAGTTGAAGGTAGTCCCCACAATAATCTTGTGCTTAACGTTTTACACCACCACACGAAAGTGAAAGTTAGCAAGGAGAAAGTCACACACACAGATATGCGTGAGATATGTCCATTGAAAGTGGAAGATATGAAAAGACCATCTGTCTTTGACTACAGATGTTTGCATTCTTTTCCATGTTAAGCAGTACTTTAATATGGTGAATAATATTAAGATCAGGCGTAAAGTGCTAGGTAAGGAGGGTGAGCCAATCGACCGAGTTGTGAAGTTACTTCGATTGAGATGGCTAGAACGCCTGTTGTACATGCCAAACAACAACAGTCCTTGACAAGTGACATTAGGTGACATAGGATTGCGTTGGAAGAGAGTCAGAGGGATTCAAAGCAGAACCTGCCATTAATCCATGAAGACTTCGACTGTTGACTTGAGCCATGTAGGGAAGTGTCAACTGTGTGGTAAGAGTCCTTAGAATGCTAAGAACAACTGGCTGGAGACAATTGTTGATATGACTCAAAATCGCTCACGATGGTGCTGATGCCTTCACTCTTTGTAATCTCCCATATTAACTAAACCGTCATATTTTCTCTACTTTACTATTTTTTTGAACTGCTACACTTCTGTGCACAGTTCTGTTTTGGAACTCAGCCCGTCAGTCGGTGAAAATTCAGTTATTCTTGTATGAAGAGTCAACTCATCCTCTAGAAATTGCTTGTCTGTCTGTTTTCAACATATAACTTTACGCAGATGTGCAGCGGTTCAAGTCGCCACACTTCACTCAGCACACAAAACAAGAGAAGAAAGTAGGAGAAATGCAAAATAGAGACAGTAGACAGGGATATGAGACAAAAGGAATAGTAATAACGAAGAACAATATAGTTTCATTGGAAATTACAAGTCATAAGGAGTGGATGCATCTGCGCCAGCCATCATTGAGAACGATTTTGAGCCATTTCACCGATTGTCTCCAGCCATTGGTTTTTACCGTCCTGAGGATCCCAACCAGTCACGTTGTCTACACTTGCCTACGTGGCTTAAACTAACTGCTGTGGATTTCATTGACTGGTGCCATGATTTCGTCTGACCACCGCTAGCTCATTTCCAGCCTGACCCTATGTCAGCTAACATTGCCAGTCGAGGAAGGCGATGGCTAAGAATGCGTACCACATGTCCTCACCATCTCAGTCGATGCAACTTCAAAGCCTCGTCAATTGACTTCCCCTCCTTACCTAGCACTCGACGCCTAACCTCAATATTGCTCACCCTATTATACCACTTCACACGGAAGATGGAACGCAGGTACCTATCATCAAAGACAGCTGGCTTTTTCATGTCCTGCACTCACAGTCACAAAGGAGAACGGAGCGAACTGCTAAGCAGTACACCCGCCCTTTGATCGATAGCTGGATATCACGTCTACGCCAGAGACGGCGTGAACTGGCATATACAAAACGAGCCTTCTGTATCCATGCTGAGATTTAGTCAATGACCAACCCGTTAGTGTTAGCTGATGCAACTTCCCAAATAAGTGAAGTGGTCAACACGCTCCACCAACCACTTCACTCCTTATTTCTAAGCTAAAAATGAGTCAATGTAGTCCAGTCCTGTAGCATCATCTTACATTTGGAGGGAGCGAATCGCATGCCAAACATTCGTAGATTGCAGCTCAAGGTGTTCAGAAGACTCTGCATTTTGTCAGCGTCTTCACCTAGAAGGACTATATCATCTGCATATTCTAAGTTTACGAGATTATTCTCTGGTAACAAGTCAATTCCCCAGCATCCTGAAAATGACTACTCACTGCGAAAACTGACAATCTTAACTACTTTAACTGCTCAAGTTAGTAACCGGATTCGAAACCGGTAACCTACCGATTCTGGCAGATGCAAATAAGGTCCCGGCAATCAGATACTAGGAATCACGTTAGCATCTTCAATATAAGATCCGCTGTCTACAGTAATATGAAATAACCACGAGCCACGCATTAAATAGTGCGGAAAACAAAACAAAACTTAGTAGCGATATAAGGAAGTCTGATATAGACAACATGCGATGTCTATTTCTTCAGAGTTAATAATCATTAGATAACATTTACATACACTAGTATGTTGTTTCTTTTCAAATCGTGGAACTTTTTATGTCAATATAACAAGTGATTATCAAAGCGAACTAACCTGTAAATGTAGGAATTTGGGCAGGAGATGGTGTATGCCGAAGTTTCATCTCCAAACACCGTCTATAAACATCGCATTTTTTCACCTGATTGGCAGCTCCAATAAGATAATTATCTGAGTAGTAACCGGCCTTTGAAACATTTGAAGCATCCTCCCATGTACTTACAGATTCAGCACTACTTGAATAACTGACATCTGTATACACATCCTTGTCACTATGACACGATGAGACAAATGAAGATACATTAAAGATACCATTGGATGAATACACGTTTCCCAAATTTAACTTCTTATTTTTGCTATTATTATTATTGTTGTTGTTTGAATAAACTCCAATGAAATGTTTCACAGGCATAACCATAGAGGCTAACAGATTTGAGGCAATTTGTAAACAGCCAGGTAGGCCAACAAGATTCTGACAATTAGTACAATGAAATTTGGCTTCTTCACTTCCTGAACTGAGATGACTTTTCAATGCATTGTTAGACGAATATACAGTACCCTAAACAAAATATTGAATAAACCAATACATTGAAAATGTTTTGCGGTCTTTTTGATACGAAAACCATAGATGTGAATTAGAGAATCTACTAGGCCTGGTAAATATACGAATAACACGACGACAAACTCATGTGACAGTCGACTGACTCAGCTCCTACCCAAGGACATGATACAGCCAAACGTAGTTACACTTCAGTCTTCCTCACAAAAGCTCTCACTTGACCACCCGTTAATGTCCTTCTCCAGGTAAGTCCCATTCACTGCCTTCACACAGCTGGGGTACTCCTTACTAAGGATATGATGGCCTACCTAGAGGAACTGGATCTTATGGAGCCTATTAAACAAAATAACTTAGTTTATCTAATACCCCGCAATGATTTTAAGGTCAAATAGGTAGGTCAAAGCAGTCAGACAGGGTCAATTCGACTAACGGAAAACAAAAACTTAGCAAAATCTAGATTAGGTAACCCTATTAAAATAATAAATCTAGAAAATAACTCAGCTGTAGCAATATGCAATTACACGCAACCGTACACTAGGATAGGACAATATGACAGTCTTGAATTCTGACATAACATGATGGGGGGGAGAGATTGATAACGGAAGCTTTACTTACCGAACCAACTGAAAATCCGTGCAACAGGAGTGATTCAACACCTATCCCAGACATGTAAAAAATTCTAATACCCCTAACGCAAATGGGAAAGAAGGACAAAGACCATAAAATCACGTTTCGAAGTTGTGTAGTTATAAGTGATAAGATTATGAATAATAAAATTATGTTCGAAATGTCATCCAGTAAATTATGCTGTTTCAGTGTGCGACATATCCAATGAACAAATTAATGTGGAATTTATAACTGGACCTCTGGTGATGTGCAGACTACACCAAAATTTTAAATAAACTTATGGTTGTTTACACGAGAACAAAAGTATTAAAACTTCGGCTTCTGTGTAATAATGATTATGAAATTAATAATGCTGAAAAATTAAATACGTCTAAGCGATAAAATGTCCTTTAGTAGCTGGGATTTGTTCTAAGCTTTCTAGAACTCATTAGTATATCATTATTAATGTTTTCATTGGTAATCGGTATAAGTGACTAAAAGGTTAAATCCCAGAATGCCATCTATCGTACCACTAACAAGTACCAGATAAAAATATCACAACAAATGAACTCATTTTAAGAAGCTTGACAATAAGTCGCAATTAATATCATACGGCTGTGACAGTGATTATTAATTATTCTTATACAGTCAAAATTAGTACTAATATAAAGTGAACACTTAGTTACCCTTGATAAGTACAACTTGATTAAAGCTGAGGACAATAGTGATGAAGGAGACAGGTAATCCACATTCTTCAAGGGCGATGAACTTATACAGCTTGGTGAAGTATTGTGCATTTTACATGTATGCATAATATCGAGTAGTGGATTAGCAGAATTTGATTCGAACAATGACGTGGTATATGGGCTTGCATCAGACTTCGATAAACTCGGTAGCTCAATAGGTTCACGAGCATTTTTAAACTGAAGATTTGTCTCTTCTAGTACATTTTGAAGTGGAAAGCATGATAGTTCGGTAGAGGTACTTTGATGATCATCAGATATGGAGAAAGAAGGACGACGCACCATATTACGCGCAAATGTCTTTGAAAAATCGATCTCATGATTGTCCGTTGAATTTACACGATTGTTCTTGCGACACTAAATATATACAAACATTGGGATTAAAATGCAAGATAGTATCTTGTAAAACGGCTTACACAATTATCAAGAAAAATGCAATGAACAAGCAGTGACAATTTTAATGCTTCTACGAGTATTTATAAATAATGGTCAGGAAATGCAGGTTGCTGAGGGTGATTGTGTAAGATTTAGTCGTTAAGTTTGTCAGACAATCAGACAAAATGTAACTTATGGCAAAAAGAAATAATTTCAATACTCCCTTATAAACATTTTCAAGCGCGTTGACAGAAATCACCGAAAATAGTTTAACACAGATATAGCTATCGAAGCTGTATAATAAATAACATCTAAGTAGGCGGTAAACAGATCCATGTTCACCAGCTGAATCAGAATCACTTGATACATCCAAAAATTAAGTCAATGATTAAATTCTGTTGAATTTGACGCACTGTAACAGGTTTTCAAACATTTTTATTACTTCTAAACACAATGGAAAGGAAAGCACTGGTGCATCTGTAACAAACAATTTATTATTAAATTGTGAATTACATAATTAAACACCACTTATTAACAGTAAAATGCATTAAAAGTAAATAATTAATAGCTTACATCTGGAACATCAGCCAATGACAGAGTACGTCTTCTGCACACACTTTGATGCTTCGCCATGAATAATTACTATAGACCGACCTAAAAAAAACATGTACTAGTTATATAAAAGACACTGACTATTATTTATACGCTACAAATGAAAAACCATCTTAGAATATCTTACACTCCACGAGCTGTTAGATAACCTGAATTTATGAATGTGGATCATAATCAACTCAGATGTACGACTACAGGTGACAATGTTAATGAAGCTCAACACTACTGATACGACGATGAAGCAATATAATTTTGTTGGCGACAAGAAATTAGGCCTATTCACACTCAGTTACTGTCGCCTTAGGGGGAATTTAATTACTGCCTACAAAATAACAAATGATCAGAATCACCCAAACAAAGGTGTTCTGCCATTGAGTAGGTATAGGCTCCCTCGTGGAAATCCTAGAAGGATAGCTCATCAAAGGGCAAGGACCCGGGTGCGCTCCCACTTCTTTTCCCTGAGGGTTTGCCGTCCCTGGAATTCCTTACCGGCAGATGTAGCCATGGCACCATCTGTGGACGCCTTTAAGCGAAGGCTGGACAACCATGCAGCGACACAAGGACTTCATCCAAATGGCCTATCCCCTTAAAATCGCATACACCATTCAAAGGTAGACAATTAAACTGGTCGTTTTACTTCTTCACATTCTCTTCAGTCTTACTCTCCTGACAGTTTTAACTACACCTATTATTATTATTATTGTTATTATTATTACTGGTATATATATACCGGTTGACTGACTGTTGTTACGTTTTCTTATTCTTTTTTTGTCTGTTAGTCTGAATAACTTAACTAATTATATCTATTATTATTATCTCTTTTCTATTGACGAGGATACCGAAGGACCAACTGGTGAAAGGATCAACTCCATTCACAGTAGTAACAGTCTTAACACACCTCATACTACAAACCACATATAATTAATCCCTGCACTACTCCTTTTGAAGTCAATCAAAGCTACGACAGTCGAGTGGCGGGACGAGCTACGCAGACGTTTACCGAAGATCGGGAACCTCTACCTCACAATCAAGAGGCGAGCACAAAGAAATCAAATTGGTTTATACTAGCTCGTAAAAACGATATTGGATATTGGACTAGCAATAGACCAAAACACAAAACACGTAATTTTTTCTGTATCCTAGATTATGTGCTTAACAAAAGACAACCATTTTAGCCTAGCTCTATGACGGTGACATTAAACAGAAAGTCACAAGCTTCATCGATATAACACCTCACAATGGTTATCAGACAACCCAACATTAGGTTCCGGATATCACATTAACCTTAATTTAATGAGCACCCTAAAATGCCATTAATCAACTGACAAAGGATTCTGGTTTCTTTATGTCCAATTGATGTATTCGCTGGCAGTTTAGCTAGGAAATCAAATATTCCCCGAATACATTGCATTCAATGTCGCGCAGATGACTTGCTCTCTTCCCAAAATGCCAAGCGAGTATTTCGCATATTTGCAAGCGAAAAAGAAGTAGGAATGGGGATGACTATAAAAATGATGAGGTGGCGTTGTTGCAATTCAACTAAATTAACCTTATTAATAAGGTCGAACTCCACCACATCACATAATTGACTCCCAATCTTATTTCCACTAATCGGCTTTTTTCCTCTGAATGAGCATTATTTCCCTAATTTAAACCCACACATTGATCCTAAACTAAACATGGACATACGAATCGACAAACCAAGATGATAATATTTAGAATTCAACTTACAGTCAAACAAAGCCCCAAGGTCAAATCTGTAATGGCCGCTGGACTTCCGATATCCAATATCCTGATTACGAGGTAGTATAAACCAGTGATTTCTTTGAGCTCGCTTCTTGATTGTTAGGTAGAGGTTCCAGATATTCGGTGAACTTATGCGTAGTAAATCCCGCCACTCGACTGCTTTAGCTCCGGTAGACTCCAAGAGGAGTGGTGCGAGGATTGGTCAAGATTGTGGTTTGTAGTGTGCAGTATGTTGAGACTCAGCTGCTGCCGTGAGTGGAGTTTGACTTAACACCCGTTGGTCATTCAGTGTAGTCATAAAAGTAGAAGAATAATAATAGGTTGTAGTGTAGATAATACAGGTTAAGATAAGTGAAATAATAAAGGTTAAATAATAAAGGTGACCAAATAAAAGATAGAGTAGTCGGTACAGTGAGAGAAGACAGAACGGGTCGTGGGGATTTAGCTTGTATGCTTATCCACTGACAATGTGGTTTCAAATTTTAAGAGGATAAGTCATTGAGACACAAACCATGCATTTCTGCATGATTGTCCAGCTTCCACTTAAAGTCTCCACAGATGGCGCTGTAGTTACGGCCGCCGCCAGAGACGGCAAACTCGAAGCGAGAAGAAATGTGAACGCACTCAAGTCTTTGGTCTCTGGTGTGCTATCCTTAGCAGGTTACCTCGTGGAAACCTATAATCACTTAATGGCAGGATGCTCTTATTAGGGTGGGCCTGGTCATTTAAGATCTTGAAGACGGTGATGAGGTCTCCCCTGTGACTACGGTAACTAAGTGTGAAAAGACTTAATTTCTTTAGTCCTTCCTCATATGATTTGTTGCGGAGGCCGATCACACATTTTGTCGCTCGTCTCTGGACACTTTCTAGAACGTTAGCATCCCTTTTGAGTAGCGGAGGAACAATGATATTATGCACCCCAAGGTGTGGCCTCACATACGTCTTATACGACCTTAAGAATAGTTCTGGAATAAGAGCTCCCAGCCACCTATGCATAAAGTGTAAATTTGCGTAGGCTTTGGCGACGTCCCTCGTGTAATTTACACTGGTGTCTAGCTTTTCTGTTAGAATAAGACCTAGGTCGCGTTATGATGGCACACAACTGTAGTTCTGCCCACCAAGGGTGTAATTTGCACTCTGTGACCTGCCAGAATGAAGTTGTACTACTTTGCACTTCTTTAGGTTGAAAGGCATTCCGTTAGCCAGGGCCCAGTCTCCCAGAGTTTGCAGGTCAGCCTGCAATCTGTCGGAGTCTTCCGATGAGTTTATTGCTCTCCAAATCTTCACGTCGTCAACGTGTAGAAGCGCAGAGCTGTTCAGTTGACAGGGCAGGTCGTTGATAAAAATCAAAAACATCAACGGCCCTAAGATAGAACCCTGAGGAACCCCTGATGCCGAGGTATGCCAGGATGATCGGATGCGGTTGACTTTGGTGCACAATTCTCTCTCCCCTAAGTAAACTTTCAGCCATGCCAGACTTGTTCACTGGAGATTCTATATCATTTTGCCTAGTGACACGTGTTCAGAAGACTTATAATTTCTTGAAGGTCAGCGTCATTCAGGGCAGAATCTTCATCTTTGCTATATTTAAGTTCCATGAATGCATACCTTGGCTGCTGTAGCTCAGGTGAATGCATTACAACAGAGGGAGTTAATTTACTTTAAAGCCAAAGTATGTCTCTATCAAAAGCTCTTATAGCTCGGGAACTTTAAGCTCTTGCAGACGAAACAAGTGGAAAATTAGTATAAGGGTTAGATATAAATCAGGTACGACAAAGAAAAACTCATGATCAGTGAAAGTCATGAAACTCCGGTAGAATATTGAAATATGTGTTATAATATGGACTTAAGTATGAAACTGAAATCAGAATATTTGCCTTCCCGCTTCAACCTACCAGAAATTAACTACTTCCTCCATATGTGTGCTCAAATCTTACATGCTTTCACAACAGACTAATTTTCGCTTGAAGTAAGTGGTTGGCGGGACTGCGTACATTTCGTAATCTCTATTTGTGAAAGCTCCTAGGAAATGGAAGTCGGCCGCACCTTTGTTACATTAACCCTTCGCATTCAGGATTATTAGGACGATCCAGACGAAGTAACCTGTCGTTTCCATAGGTCTACTCGACAAATGGAACGAAACCACTCCCACCAAAGTAAAAATCACCGGGAACCTGACTGCCGTCCCAGAAGTAGACTCGAGAGATACATATACTACATCAGTTGGCAGGATCCCATGGAATAATTCACAAATTTCGATTAATGTAACCGTAGAAAAGCTCTGTATATTTGCTGTATGTGTGCCTCCAAAGTGAACAATAACTTCGAAGACAGATTTCAGATTTCAGATTTATTGGTTGAGGATAGAAGGCTTGGAGCCTATTTTAATCCTTTTCTAGTAAATTTCTGTGGTTGTCCAAACCCTTCTTGAACGAATCAACTGAGGTTGCAGACACCACTTCTTCTGGGAGTCGGTTCCAAGAGTTTATGACTCGACGTGAGAACCAGTACTCAACAGCAATGTGATTTCTTCTTGGCTTTTGAACTCTCCTGCTATGTCCTCTAAGGTGTTCCAACCTGGTGGGAAGGAAAAGAGAAAATAGGTCAGGTCCGTAGTCATTATTTAAAATTTTAAACATTGTGATTAAATCTCCTCTCTGCCTACGGTATGACAAGGAGAAGAGATTTAAACTGTCTAGTCTTTCCTCGTATGATAAGTTAGTCATGCCATGAATCATACGTGTTGCTTTCCTTTGAACCTTTTCTAGAATAAGTGAGTCTCCTTTTAGACAAGGGCTGGCGGCCTGGATGCAGTTTTACAGTCTTCACCTCACCAGAGATGTATATAAGGAGGTGAACATATCTCTGGTGATTCTAGTGAAGGCTCTACGAATTGCCCATAATGACCTGAAACTACGTGCAGCCACCGCGCGACAGTGTGCTGTAGTTTTTAAGTCGTGGCTAACTCTGACACCTAAGTCCAAGTAAGTCTGAACTGATGGAAGTGTAATTCCCTCTAGTTCATAAGAGCTCGTGCTTGCTTGTCCAATGCGCATGGTTTCACATTTTGTCACGTTTATCGGGAGCATCCATTCTATGGACCACTCTGACAATTTGTTGAGGTCCTCTTGCAACGTGGACGTGTCACTATTGCCCTTCAGCTCTCTCCAAATTTTTAAGTCATCTGCGTATAGGACCATAGGGGAATCGGTGATCAGAGATAACTCATTGATATAGGTGAGAGGAGAGGTCCAAGTACCGTGCCTTGTGGCACTCCGCTGCGTACTGCTGTCCAAGAGGAGAGTTTCGAGTTGATCATAACCCTCTGCCTCCTATCTATGAGGAATTCCCTGAGCCAGTTTAGTAAGCTGCCTTTGATACCAAGACTTTCCAACTTCATGAGTAGTCTTTTGTAAGGTACTTTATCAAAGGCTTTGCTGAAGTCTATGAAGACGACGTCAACGGGTCTTCTGTTGTCCCTGGATTTAACCCAGCTTTCTCTTGCAGTGAGAAGATTTGACAGGCATGAGAGGTTCCTTCGGAAGCCATGCTGTGCTCTTGATAATAAGCTTCTATTTTCTAGATATGCCATTATGCTTTTCTTGATGATTCTCTCTAGTGTCTTAATTAAAGTGCTGGTGAGACTGATAGGCCTGTAATTTGAAGGGCTTTGTCTTGATCCTCCTTCGTGGATGGGGGTTACTATGGCGTCTTTCCAGTCACGCGGTAACACTCCGTTTTGGAGAGAAAGCTTGAAGATCGTAGTCAAAGGGCCGGCTATGTGTGCTGATAACTCCTTGAGAAGCCTTGGGTGAAGATTATCAGGACCCATTGATTTCCCTGCATCTAGTTTCCTTAGGCAGTTGAGCACGATGCCTTGGTCGATGTCAACGGAATCTATCCCATGTTCTTCTGATGCAGCCAGAGCTGATCCTATAGGCAGTGACGACTCCTGAGTGAAGACTTGGGAGAAGTAGTTTGCCATTGCTTCGGCTTTTTCTTAATCTTCTTCGATTGTATCATTGTCAATAGTCAGGTTTGGGACACCATTGGATGTTTTATTCCTGAAGTTCATGTACGAGAAAATTTTCCTAGGTTGTGCCTTTGCATTTTGAGCCAGGTGTGCTTCGAATTTCATCCTTGATTTGCGGATTTCTGCAATAGCTTTATTTCTAGCAGTGTTATATAATTGCCTGGTCTCAGAAGTCTCAAGTGTGGCAAACAAGTTCCAACATTTGTGTTTACGTCTAAGTAACATACGAATCTCTCGGTTTATCCAAGGAGGGCAGTGTTTCCGACCCTTTGGGACAGACCAAGGGATGAAAGGTTCAGTTACTTGGGCGTAAAGTTGTTTAAATTGGTTCCATGCGGCTTCTACTTGAGACTCTGGGTTGATGTACCAGTTTACTGAGTTGGCTGCTGAGACGATTGCATTTATATCAGCCTTCCAAACGTTTGGTCGAGATGGGGTTTTGGCCCTTGCTGCCGTTGCTGTGAACTTGAAAGTGAGCACAGCATGGTCACTTCTTCCTAAAGGAGGAAGATGTTGTATGAGATCTACATCCTCACCTTGGGAGAACAATAGGTCCAGAGTTGAGGAGGAGTGCTGTGAGTCATAGCGCGTAGGCTTGATGATATATTGGACTAGAGCTAACGATATACTAGATTCCAGCAGTTTATAATCAAAGGAGTTGACTGAGGATGGAGTTGTTAGGCTCGTCCAGTCAACTGTTGGGGCATTGAAGTCGCCAACTACGAGACTTCGACATTTCGAGGTCCAGGAGCGTAGCTGCTCTATCAGGAAGTCATCTGCACTGCAGTTAGGACTGCGGTACATAGCAATGAGGTCAGTGTCTTGGCCTATGCATTTAAGTCTGCAGCGTAGAAGTTCGCACGACTCACTTTCGTGAGCGAGTGCTTCGATACTACGCACGGTTAAGCATTTCTTGAGGTAGATGACTACGCCACCTCCTTTGCGGTTTAGTCGGTCCACCCTGTGCAATTCGAAGTTTGGCAGAGTAACTTCGCTGT